TAAGTTGGTATACCTTGAATAAGTCGGCAGTGCGTTTGTGGTAGACATTTTCTTAAATGTTTTAAATCATTCATGAGAAACTGAATTAAGAAAAAAAGAAATATCTTAGAAGCTTAGAATATAAAGTGCAAATGTCATTTTTACTAAATATATAAGAAGATTTTGTATGAGTGCCAATGAGACAACTCTCCATCCAAGTCACAATTTGTAAAAGTAAACCATTATAGATGTCAAACTACGGCCTTCAACACGGAGCCTTGGCTCACACCGAACAGCAAGCTATAAAGGGCCCCAAAAATTACTTGTGTAAAACCATTCAAACAAGAAAACCAACGGTCTAATCTATATAAAAAACGAGAAACGAGAAACACTTATGAACCACACGTTCACTTTAAATGCTGTTTAAATTCATGTACATGTACCTTAGTTTTATATGATGTAATAAATTATATGTGGTATAATAATAACTATGCATATTAAATAAAGTTACTTTGTTTCACATGTTTCAGTTGACAAACCTGCATTCTTGGCATATGCCAAATCCATTCAATCAGTTGGAAGTGTATTGAGGTTTGATGACGTAGTTACGAACGTAGGGAATCACTATAATCCATATACTGGGATGTTTACAGTACCAAAGAATGGACTTTATAGTTTGGGTTGTATGATCATGTCTAGAGGAAAGCACTACGTAGACTTCAGATGGTTTAAGAATAACACTTATTTCTCAAAGGGGTTTGTTCCTGTGTCTGGCCATGCAGCTGCGCAGACACTAAGTTTCGTCTTATATTTGAAAAAAGGAGATCGAATGTACATCAAACTATTAGGCGGAGGGGAAATAAATAATAGGCGCTACTCATACATATCTGGATATCTTTTATAATAAATGAAGCAAACGTATCACTGAGTGTTTAACTATTTTTTTAACATCTTCACTACTTTGAAAATAAATTCTTTTTGAATCAATTCAATTTAACTTAGAGAGAGAGACATGAGAGAGAGAGATATCATCTTCTGTGATCATCATATCTTATCCCTCTAGTTGTCTTACTTGCATGTGTAGTATAAGACGGCGTTTGTTTAATTTAAAAAGATATACGAGTAAGGATTCAATTCTCAGATTCCGAGGATGGGACATATATACATGTAACAGGCTTAAATTTTCGCAAGTTAGTACCCTTGTACGCCTATTACCATCGACTTCTTATTTTTTCATATAGACTAGGACCAAATTACACCCTTAAAAAAGGGGAACCCCCCCCCCCCCCCGCAAAAAAAAAAAAAAAAAAACCACCACAAACTAGTTATCGCATATGTTGATAAAAGACAGTACTACAAAATATGTTAACCAACAGTAGCATCAATTTAAGATGGTGGTTATGCGTGAGCTCTGGAAGACTTTTCTCATTCTTGATGGCCGTACAGTGATCTATTATTGCTTAGATCTTCGTCATTTGAACACTGGTGAATATATGTCTCATTTGCAACCATACCACATCTCCTTATTTTTATATTAGCATGTCCCCTTTGATTGATTGATTGATAGGTTTTTAACGCCACTTTCAGCACTATTGTGCTATTTCGTGGTGGTCACTTTTTATGGTGGAGGAAGCAGGAGTGCCCGGAGAGAACCACCGACCTTCGGTAGAAAAACTGACAATCCTAGTCTATTAAGATTGGAGTTGAGTGCAGGATTCGAATTCACAACCTCAGTGTTGACAGGCTAGTGATACAGTAGTTCGACAACTTTTTTCGTCTTGATATTTATTTAATCCAATAATATTGAAAACACATTTTTCACATTATACATGTTATAACAGAAAACATATAGTCCCTAAACTATTATTCTGCAGCATTCTTTCATCTCACAACCAAGATCAGGCATACAAATCCTATATGTACTTCATTATATAAAACACCATATACATACTAAATATTCAAAATGTATGTTTACTGTCTATTCTTAAATTCGATAATGTTCATTTGTAGCGTTTTTGTTGATGGATTCCATTCCTGAAAACGCATTCGACTCTTTAGACCACTCGGCCACCGAGGACCATTGTGTCCGATTTCATTGTAGAATATAACGACAGTACATGGCTGGTGCTATGTAGTCCCAAGATTACAAAGTGTTTAAAAATACCATTGAAAGTTTTTCATCTGATTGCAGATTTTTTTTATTTCTTTCATTTCGAAAAAAGGTTTCTTGAATGACATTCTCTTTCCTTTAATGCAGAATCATTAAAATAGTGATTGGTGTATATGTATTGTTATAACAACGTTATGAAAAAATGGTACATCATATGTCGGATATCCATTGTCTTATATGACCTTGTTCATCAATCACAACGTTAAGTGTAAAGATTTGAAAATGTATCATAGAATGCATTAGAGTCTTAAATGGGAAATTGATTCAGAGATGTTCTGTCGGTCAATTAAGTACAATATAAAGCGTCCAATTATACATTCAGAAGAAGTTACCAAAATCCAATATTGGTATGTTGATCTTCAATAAGGTAATATCCTCTCAATTGTAATTTGACTAGGGGGTCCAGAATTATAAATAGGGGCGTACTTCACTAAATTTTAATTATTGCGCCTAGCGAGACAGACGAGACGAAAAACATTTCGGACGTCGTTATGCTGAAAATTGTTATATTTTGCAATCAAAGGGGGTCCTGTAAGCCCCCTCCTCTGACATTGTTTATGAGGATGGTTTTATTCTCTACCACTTCCATGGGAAATGTTTACTGCTCAGTATTGGAAGTGGCAATTTCCTTTAATCCTTCTAACAAAATTATTTCTTTTCTGTACACCAAAATTAATTATAAAATAGAAAACACACTTAAAATAGACAAAAAAAAACCCCTCTCTATATACAATCAAACTGAGACAAAAATAAAAACATCACAATTAAAACTGGAACTGGTTATGAATATGATGAGCCACATTTAAAGGTACAGTCAACAGATTAACTAGATCATTTTGGTGGTTACTGCATATTGCCACATTGTACTGGTTATGGGCAAGACGATAATGTATCAAGTTAAGCAGGAACTGTTAAACCTTCCGAAGCACCTGAGTTCCTCCAGGTTTGTGGTGAAGTTGGTCTTGCTTAATCCAGATACATTTATACACATGTATCTGCTCAATCATTACAACTACATTTTAGTGTAGTACTGGTGTTATGTGGACTGTTGTATATTGTCTTCATCAGAAATTCAAAATTATCTGTCCAATTTCATGAAATTACATGTTGATCAAACAGAATCAGGAATTAATTCTTTAATTACATGTATTAACTTAAATCAGGTAATTTATGATGTAGCAAACAAAAGTCTAAGAAAGAAACATCATAGTTTGAAAAAATCTAATAAGAAAAAGAAAAAACCTAATTGGGAAAATTAATCTCTATCAGTCCTTAAAAAGCAACTTATTGATAAAGAAAATTTATTTAAAAAAATCAATAGAGATCCATATTTTAGATCATCTTATTTTAGTGTTTTAAAGCATTGTGGAAAATCTAGGACAAGAGTGCACACGCTGAAATGTCTCGCCTTCTTTACTGGCCATTGATTTTATGTTGATAGTCCTTAATATAAAGCTTTACTACAAGTATCACATAAATTTAACATGATCCAAGAAAATGAGGTCAAGGTCAAATAAACCAAACGGGAAATACATGTACACCTTACAATCATTCAATACACCAAATATAGTTGACCTATTGCTTATAGTTTCTAAGAAACAGACTAAAACAGGAAAACTAAACATTGACCAATGAACCATGTAAATGAGGTCAAGGTCAGATGAACCATGCCAGACAGACATGTACACCTTACAATCAATCTATGTGTAGAGTACGAAGACTAGGGTACATGTATTTTATTGTGACATGTGTGATGTACATGTAAGTTTACATAGACAGGGAGAAGATATTTTTTTATGTATGTTTTAATTGGTATTAATAAAGCATATTGTTTAATATTCTGTATTTTTTATGAAAGTCTTATTATGTAGGAAACAGTAACTGTGTGAAATAATTTGTACTATCAGTTGAACGGCAAACGATTTAATGGCGTCTAAGTTCAAGACATTGGTCACGTGATAAAAGGTCAGAGTTTACCGTTTTCTTGTGAACGTGTACACCTCTTGGTTTTTTACCTCGTATCGTCTAATTGTAACTCGTACATAAATAAAACTTGTAGGGTCCAAATCTTGAGTGAATAAGCTTCATTATTATGTATACTTATTTATGAAAGGTGTTATAAAAGTATTCTAAAACAACGATGGAAGTTGAAATTTTTTGTGGAAAATTTGCGTAGGTCTACGGAAAATCCCAAATCATTTCTTAAATGGGTTTGGTAACGTATGGAGGGGTATAAAATATGAAGTAAAACCATTTTCTGGATCTTATATATTAATTATAGATCATAAATTCCCCGGATACGCAATTGTGTCAGCTTATTCGTGGCGAAGCGGAGATCAACGGGAGATAACTCCGTACACGCGTCGTAGGAAACTGCAAGTTTACAACAGTAAATTCGAGTAAAATTAATGATTGTAGTTATATTTCGACACTTTCTTGAATAACCATTCAATATTTAATGTTCCTCTACTCTTGTAACATTAAAATAGTCATGGAATGTTTGAATATGGCATTTTTTCAAGTACCCTAAAACAGGTTTTTGGAAACTTCCAAAGAAGAAAATTATAGATAACTGACTTTTCTCTGAAACTTGGACTTATTTGTATATTCTCAAACACCCTTTTGGTAGATGGAATGATACAAGTCTTTGTTTAACTTTCTTTGTATCAATATTCTTAGAAAGGATATGAAAATAAACTCAGTGTTTGTACATGTTGGTTGTTTAGAAAAGTTTGTTTAAATATATTAAAATTTCACTCTAAAATTAGACTTGAATTTTTATATTTAAATAAGTATCTAACATAGAAAGTTGTTAATCTGGTGCACTGAAAATGTTCCATCAGAAATGTTACCGTCGTACATTGATTAAGAGTAAGATACATATTACGATTAGAAGCTAAGTAGTAAATCGGCGTTTCTTTCCCCGATACATCAGATTCCTGTAATCGAATCACGATGCTACACAAATTTTGACATGTTAATGGCCCAAAGAGGTAATTTGAACGTTATTAATGTAATAAATGTCTTTTAATATGCATAATTGATATATTCGCATAGTCATAATATTTGTAAGGTTATACTGCGATTTGTTTATATATCTGGTGTGCAACAGGGTTTTGCATTGAAAATTATATATGGTTCTTTTTTGTTTACTTTCAGTTCTTACGTAAACCTGCGTAACAACGTATACTAGTCCATGAACTTTGTATAATGTTAGACAACTGGGTGAATGTATGCGATGCACTGTATGTTTATTTGACAATTGCGACATGAATAAAGTATCAGAACTTTCAGTGTATTATTTTGCGACGCCCACAGCTACAGTAAGAACTCTCCATCATTGACTTGTCTGATGTGTAAACGATTGCGAAACAGATTTGAAGAATCCATTTGATGAACAATTACAGATCGATGCGTTTTGATGCTGTAATAATTGTAAACAGAACTTTTATGAGACATGCTGTAAAATGTGGTATGGTGTAAAGTTATGGAAAAGATTCAAGACATTGATTTTGACAATACACATTTATAGTGATTCGTGAAACAACAGAAAGAAGACCGAACAGTTGAAGAGAACTTTTACTAGAGATATTGACTCATTTTTGATTTATTGCATTGATTTATTTGCTATGTTTTGGTATTTTGTATTATGTTTGATTTTTGATAGTATTTGAATATGGGTTTATAATAAGGATTCTTTAAACTGTTTTAACATGATGAAATGCATGAACATATGGGTACAAAACGTATGTTTATTTTGAATATGATGCATTTGAATTTTAAAGGGTTACATATTTGATTGATATCATATATAGGTAATGATTTTATGTTGCTTAAATCCCTTTGTTGATAACTTGAAATAATTAGTCATGATGTCCCGAGGCGAAGTCGAGGGCGATATATGTGAGGCTAGTGGTGTAACTCGTACTAGCACACGACAGCGAAGTTAAACCGATAAGGGTTTTTTTGTGGCAAGTTGATACTTTACAGAAAAACTTTCGGAAGGCCGTTTCCTCATGGAAGTCATGGTCAAACAAAATAGAAGTACAATTAAGTGACACTAAAGACACAAATATCATTCGTGAACATCGAAATATATTAGTTGAAAACATGAATCATTTAACAAGTGTTTATAAACAATTATCGAATCTTATCGAAAATGAAAGTGAGTCACATGGTCATTCTGAATTAATTAGTGAAAGTGAAACTGAGATATTTAAGCGATACGAAACTTGTGAAAACTATCACGCAGATCTCATGAAAAGGATAACGACTCGTGTTCAGGAAATTGATAGAGACAATGTAGAAACTAGAGGTTCATATACATGTAAGTCAAGGTCTAGTCATTCATCTCATTCACATAGATCAAGTGCATCACAACGGTCACAAACTGCTTCGCGAGCCGCAGACTTGAAGGCAAAATTAAAGTACATTGAAATCGAGGCGAAGGCGAAATTAGAATTGGAAAGGATACAAACGATGCGTGAACTAGAGGCTACAGAAGCCAAGCTAGATGTAATCGATAAAGCTAGTCAAGGCTCAGATTTAGATGAATTAAAGAGATCACTTCCGGAAGCTAATATTCTCGATAAATTTCTTCAACACGTTAATCCGGATGCTAAAGTAGATACTGACATTATTGAAAATATTAAGGATGAGCATGATGATTTTGTAACTACTCTGCCAAGGTCAACAGTTCCGAAGAAGTTGAATATTGACCATGATCAAGTTCAACCAATACACCATATAAGTTATAAGTATCCAGTTCAAGGTCATTCTGTCCCGACTGTAAGTCTACAAGGTCAAGGTCAATTCGTCTCAAATGTCGATCAATCTAGGCAAGCTAAGCCTACACCCAAAGTCCGTCAATTAATATTAGATCAGTCTGCATTGAATGTAAGTCAGTCATTCGTGCAAAGTGTAAGTTCCGTGCCAGTAGTGACAAACACGCGTTCTGAACCAGTAGTAACCAACGTAAAATCGGCGCCAGTTGTGACAAGCGTAAGTTCCGCAACTCTTAATCCATCAGCTATAACATTTGTACCTCAGAATGTAAACACTGCTAATGTTACAGGACAATACGTTCAAATTGAAGACCTTACGAAATCACTCGCCGAACAAGTGAGTCTTAGTCGGCTGCCGCCACCCGAACCATCGGTCTTTTTTGGTGATCCTTTAAAATATCCTGCGTGGAAATCATCATTCCAAACTCTTATTGAACAACGAAAAATTCCGACGTTTGAACGTATACATTACTTGCGAAAGTATGTCGGAGATTCAGTGCGAGAGGTAATTGAAAACTTTCTAGTATTGTCTACCGAAGACGCTTACGATGATGCAAAGGAACTCCTTGAAAAGAGATATGGTGATCCGTTTATTATCAGTAATGCATTCCGTGATAGACTCGATAATTGGCCGAAAGTACTGTCTAGAGACAATATTGCTCTAAGGAAATTTTCTGACTTTCTTAAACAGTGTTTGTCTGCGATGAAAACTATGGGAACATTGAACGCGCTAAACGACAATAGAGAAAATCGAAAACTTTTGTCAAAACTACCGGATTGGGTTGTAACACGATGGTCCAGAATCGTTGCGAAGCACAAAGAAGATAAGCGTGAATTTCCTTCATTTCAAACGTTTGTAGATTTTGTAGAAAAGGAAGCAATCATAGCAAACGACCCGGTAACGTCGATTCAGTCGGTCAGATCAGAAACTACAAATAGCACTAGTGACAAGTTTAAGACTAATCGATTTCAGCGTGGTAAATATGATAATCAGCGTAGAAACGTTCTTGCGACAGAAACTTCACGAGTGCCTGATAAAAACAATAACAGTTACAACAAGGATCAAACATGTACATTCTGTAAGAAAACTGGTCATTTCATCGATTCATGTTATCAGTTTCTTGGGAAATCAGTGAACGAGCGAAAGAACTTTGCGAAAGAAAAGGGACTTTGTTTTGGTTGTCTTGGGTACGGACATACATCGAAGAAATGTCAAAAACGTAAAAAGTGTGAGGTATGTTCAAGGTTTCATCCGACGTCTTTACATGGTGACTTTCAAAAACCGATCATTTCCGTTAACAAGGATAAACCGTTCGAAACTGGCACCGTGGAAAATTGTAAGTCACAGACCGGAGCCGTATTCATGAACAATACAAAAGCAAGTTGCAAAAGTTCTATGATTGTGCCAGTTTATGTGTCGCATTCAGACGATCCCGAGAATGAAAGACTCGTTTATGCTTTACTAGACACACAGTCGGACACTACTTTTGTTTTAGATGAAACACGCCGTGCGTTAGGACTCAGTGGAACAGATGTTAAACTCTCACTTTCTACAATGCATGCAGAAAATCATATAGTTGACAGTCGTAAAATAAAAGGTCTAATGGTTAGGGGATTTGACAGTGAAGTTAAAATACCGCTTCCAAACGTATTTACACGTGACATCATGCCAGCAAACCGATCTCATATTCCGACAGCTGAAATGGCACGTCGATGGTCATATTTAGAACACCTTGCAGGAAAGTTGATGCCCGTCAGAGATTGTGAGTTTGGACTATTGATTGGTTACAATTGTCCTCGTGCACTTATTCCACGTGAGGTCATACCTTCAATTGATAACGGACCGTATGGACAAAAAACAGATTTAGGATGGGGAATCGTTGGTATTGTTGATCCCTTGCAAATAGACAACTGCGACTCGATAGGATTCAGTCACCGAACTCTAGCTCTCGAGGTTCCGAATGAGTTATCGATTAGAGGAAATAAAAGTGGAGATCCAGAACATGTTTACTTTTCGTTTGGTTCGAGCGTTAAGGAAATAATTCCAAGTGAAGTCGCCCGCATGATGGAACTTGACTTTTCAGATAGAAACATTGACAAGATTTCATTTTCTTTTGATGATAAAAGATTCATTTCTATTCTTAATGAAGGAATAAGTGTTGAAAATGGACATTATGTTATGCCACTGCCGTTTAAAGATAAAAACCCGCCTATTCTACCGAACAACAAGAATATTGCAGTAACACGTTTAAATCAATTGAAAGGACGTCTTCAGAGGGATAAAACATATCGTAATCATTATTTTACAAGCATGAATGACTTTATCGAAAAGGGATATGTAGAAAAGGTTGAATCGTCTGAACAGGATATCGATGGTCATGTATGGTATATACCTCATCATGGGGTATACCATCCCCAAAAACCTGACAGGGTGCGTGTTGTATTTGACTGTAGTGCTAGATATCAAGATCATTCTTTGAATGATCATTTGCTACAAGGACCTGACCTAACGAACACTCTTATTGGAGTACTGTGTAGATTTCGGAAAGAACAAATCGCCGTGATTTGTGATATTGAACAAATGTTTCTTCAGTTCAACGTTAATAAAGATCATAGAGACTATTTAAGATTTTTGTGGTGGAAAGACGACAATCTTCATGGAGATCCTATAGAATATCGTATGAACGTACACTTATTTGGAGCCTTGTGCAATCTTAATCTTGTGGTGGAAAGACGACAATCTTCATGGAGATCCTATAGAATATCGTATGAACGTACACTTATTTGGAGCCGCTTCATCTCCGGGTTGTGCCAACTTTGGTCTGAAAAGAGTTGCTGACGATTACGAAGATGAGTTTGGATCAGATATTTCAGACTTTTTGCGAAATGATTTTTACGTAGATGACGGTTTGAAGTCTGTTGCTTCCGTCGATGACGCTGTAAGCTTAGTCAAACGAAGTCAGGATATGTGTAACAAAGGAGGTTTAAGATTGCACAAGTTTCAGTCAAACTCAAAAGACGTTTTGAATCAAATACCGATCGAAGATAGAGCAAAGGATATAAAGAACTTAGATTTATTAAATGACAAACTGCCGATTACAGACTCTAGGCATACAGTGGTGTATCGAATCCGATTCTTTTCAATTTCGCATTGAACTTACGAATAAACCACTCACGAGACGAGGAATACTTTCAACGTTAAGTTCCGTGTATGATCCCTTGGGATTTCTTTCTCCTTTCGTACTTCTTGGAAAACAGATTCTACAAGAATGTTGTAGCGATCAAATTGATTGGGACGAACCGCCTTCTGAAACTTTGATACAAAGATGGCAACAGTGGCGAAATGACATCCAGAATCTAGCGCAGCTAGGCATTCAGAGATGTGTAAAACCGAAAGACTTTGGAAATATAACAGTATGCGAACTTCATCATTTTTCTGATGCTAGCACTTTAGGTTATGGACAATGCTCGTACCTCCGATTAATTGATGAAAATGAACTTATTCATTGTACACTTCTAATGGGAAAAGCCAGAGTTACTCCACGTCGTTCATTAACAATTCCTCGTTTGGAATTGTCAGCCGCTCTAGTATCAGTCAGAATAAGTCAACTACTGAAACAAGAACTTCGATACGAGAACGTTACTGAGTGGTTTTGGACTGATAGCAATATCGTTCTCGGTTATATTGCGAACGACAACCGAAGATTTCATGTATTTGTAGCAAATCGAGTGCAACAGATTAGAGAACACTCTAGTCCAACACAGTGGAAATATGTAGACACGAAGGAAAACCCTGCAGATGTAGCCTCACGAGGGGCAAGCGCAAATGATTTGGTGACGAACTCGAATTGGTTTACCGGACCGAAATTTTTATGGACACTTCAATCATTCGACGCAGATGCGAATAAACCCGATTTGACACTTAATGACCCCGAAATACGGATGGTGAAAGCATTTTCTACTAAGATGGATGTTATTGAATTTGCGTCTCTGATTGAACGCTTGGAATATTTTTCTAATTGGAATCACGCAAAGCGAGCCGTTAGCACACTTCGATCACAGAATAAGAGTAAAAACAATTCACCCGAGAGTAAATTGTGCGTAAACGACATGCAACGTGCAGAGATTGAAATTATCAAACAATTGCAAGCATCGTCATTTAACGAAGAAATAGTTGTTTTACAATCGATTGGTGTAGGTAAAACCTATGAAGATAGACATTCAACCCGAATTCGAAATGTTAAATTGAAACAAACGTCATCATTATACAAGTTAGACCCGTTTCTAGATTCGGATGGAATTATTAGAGTTGGTGGTCGTATTCGACGAGCCGAGTATAACTTAGCAGTTAAACATCCAGTGATCATTCCAAGACATTCACACGTAACAGAACTAATCATACGACATTTCCACGAGAAAGCCGAACACCAAGGAAGAGGCATGACAATAAATGAAATACGTGCGAACGGATTTTGGATAATTGGTTGTAGTACTGCCGTTTCTAAATATCTATCAACATGCGTTACTTGTAGAAAACATAGAAGTAATACTCAAGAACAGAAAATGGCTGACTTACCGATTGACAGACTTCATCCGGTACCGCCTTTCACTTATAGCGGAGTTGATTTGTTTGGACCGTGGTACATTAAAGAAGGACGTAAAGAACTTAAACGCTATGGTGTCTTGTTTACGTGTCTATCATGCCGAGGAGTACATATAGAGACAGCAAATTCTCTTGATACCAGTTCATTCATAAACGCGTTGCGTAGATTTATAGCCATACGTGGCCCTGTAAGACATCTAAGATCAGATAGAGGAAGCAATTTTGTAGGTGCGGAACGAGAATTGCGGGAAGCTTATTCAGAAATGGACGATAAAAGTATAAGACAATTTCTTTCGAATGAAGGGTGTGATTTTGTAGAGTTCAAAATGAATGTCCCATCTGCTAGTCATATGGGTGGAGTTTGGGAACGCCAAATCCGGTCAGTTAGAAATGTTCTTGCGTCACTAATGCATCAATCTGGTACACAATTGGACGATGAATCTTTGAGAACTTTTATGTGCGAAGCCGCAGCAATTGTGAACAGCCGTCCTTTAACTCTTGATAATTTGAATGATCCCTTATCAGAGGAACCCCTAACGCCGAATCATATACTTACGATGAAGTCGAAGATTATTCTTCCTCCGCCTGGACAATTTCAAAGAAGTGATATTTACTCTGGAAAACGCTGGAGGCGAGTTCAGTTCTTAGCAAACGAGTTTTGGAATAGATGGAGAAAGGAGTATTTGTCTAATCTACAATCTAGAAAGAAGTGGACTGCTCCGAGACGAAATTTGAAAGTCGGCGATATAGTAATAATCAAAGATGAACAAGCCGCGCGAAATCAGTGGCATCTTGGGAAGATCAACACAGCACACGTAGATGAGGATGGGCTTGTTAGAAAAGTGCGGGTTACGATAGGTGCTCAAATTGACAATAATGGAAGGAGGAAGTCACCTCTTCAGGAATTAGATAGGCCGATTCAGAAATTAGTGTTAATATTAGAAGTAGGGGAAACCGAGGAAGTCCCCATCGAGGAGCTTGATGACATTTAGGATGCGATGTCCATAATGGTAGTATAGTGGATATAAGACTTTTTGATATTTTGAAAAATTAAACATTAATTTTGGGGAGCCATGTTACCGTCGTACATTGATTAAGAGTAAGATACATATTACGATTAGAAGCTAAGTAGTAAATCGGCGTTTCTTTCCCCGATACATCAGATTCCTGTAATCGAATCACGATGCTACACAAATTTTGACATGTTAATGGCCCAAAGAGGTAATTTGAACGTTATTAATGTAATAAATGTCTTTTAATATGCATAATTGATATATTCGCATAGTCATAATGATATTTGTAAGGTTATACTGCGATTTGTTTATATATCTGGTGTGCAACAGGGTTTTGCATTGAAAATTATATATGGTTCTTTTTTGTTTACTTTCAGTTCTTACGTAAACCTGCGTAACAACGTATACTAGTCCATGAACTTTGTATAATGTTAGACAACTGGGTGAATGTATGCGATGCACTGTATGTTTATTTGACAATTGCGACATGAATAAAGTATCAGAACTTTCAGTGTATTATTTTGCGACGCCCACAGCTACAAGAAATGAGATTTAACAAAGTTATTTAGACTGAAGAACTTGTCACTTTTTATGCTGATCATATGGGGAAAAAAGAGTGATATTATAAATTCTAACACCGCATCAATTGTGAAACAATAGTTCTTTCCTACAGACATTTTATTTTTCAAGATGCGAGGCTTGCCGATCAATTTAAAATCTAGTCAAGTTAAATTTCACTCATTTTTAATCTAGTCTAATCATATTATCAAAATATCACGAAAATTTTCATAATTTTTATTTTTTATTTCTTAATTTAAAATTTTTAGTAAACATGTATATCATTTTAGTGTCTATAAACTATGTCTAGTGCTGTATCTATGTCTTTGTAATATTTTGTATCTGTCAAATTCATGCCTTTTTATCTTGAATAAATATATATATATATAATTTACATATTTAAGATTTCACTGTTAAGAGTGGAAAAATAACTTATTGACAGAGATTCTGTATGGGAATGTTTCTCTTGATATTTTTAAATACATTTATGTTACCAACTACATTGTATCTTTGTTTTTCTACTTTGATCTGCAAAGAGATGGGTTCTTTATGTGTGACCTCAATGATCGTCAAGCATGATTATTGGTAGCCTTTATTCCTGATGTAACAATGGAAAATTCTGAGAAAAGCAAGAACTTTTAAGCAGATCCAGGTCTTTTATAAAGAGAGGGTGGATTATTCCTAATTTCCATATACAGAAAAAACATATTTCATTTCATGCCAAATTATTACATACAAGAGGGGTTTATCAGCCATTTGTCAGCAGAACTTGTGTTACAATAGAATTTAACTTTGCATTACATTAAAATACAATATGGAAAAAAAGAAAATGTAGACAATACATGCCCCCCTCCTCTTTGAAAGTTGGCTTGATCCACCCCCGAGATAAGAAACTATATAAGATGTACAAGTTCCGTTGCTCGCTCTTAATCAAGAGAAAAAATCTGAACATCCAAAAAGCCAGAAAGGGATTTAAAACATTATAATCAACACAAAGAAAACTGAACAAAAAGCTGTATTGCAATCTGATAACATGCAGTTCTCATAATTCCTATTACATGTATTACTTCAAGTTTTGATTTTTTTCCCTTATATTTGAATTCATAAGTCCTACAAACAACTGTTGAGTCCTTTAACTAAATTATTGATTGAATAATGAATGATTAGCTAAGCTGGTCTGTAAATAAAGTCTGAAAATGCTTTGTTTAAATAAAAGAGTGTTATTATGTCATAAAATATACTGAATCAACTTCAAATTTAATCCAAATTCATATTTAACTGCTCTAAAATGCATAGTCAATTGAACTACAAAACAAAAACCTGAGACTACTATAACAATTAACATAGAGAATGGTCACTTCCCATGTTATAGTAGTCTCAGACAAAAACAAAGCTGACTTAAATACATGTACAGTATGTTCAGAAATTTTTTGAAGAATGGACAACAATGAGATATTTATTTTTCTGATATCAGAAAAAATCTCATAGTATCAAATCAGAATGAGAGTTCTTTTTATTGAGATAATCAATTTAATCGCATCATTTACTTTAATAAAAACCTCATGATAATATCTGAATTTACAGTCATGACTTAGCTTGTCAACCTCTACACTTAAAAATTTATGGTTCCTAGGCCTAAATGTGGTTGAAATACAGACAATTTTGGTAACTTTTACAAAAAATCTCTTTTTTATGACATACCTTACAATTTCAGAATAAGCTGCATTAAGTTATATATAAGAATGCTAGTTTGTATTTTAATATCATGATTATCATGATTATTGCAATAAGTTGTTATTATTCAATTAATTAAAAAAAACATCAATTATTTTTTAATTGATAGATCTGGAACTAGTACATACATTTGTTTTTTTAAACATCTATATACTATTCATTAGGGAACTTATTCAAATATATTTTGTACAAGACAGTCATGGCAGTTCACAATTACAGTGGTCATTATAAACATAATGACACAATTTATACAACCAAATTTTATTGTTGATATATGTAAACTGAAATCATTGCTGAATTTTTCTTTCAAATGATTTAATGTTTGTTAGTCACTTACTTTAAATACTTAACCTGACTAACCTGTACTAAAATAAAGAGATGTGGTATGATTGCCAATGAGATAACAGTATAGAAACTATCCACCAGAGTCCAAATGTCTGTTAGCAGTTAAATTATAAGTCACTTTACAGACATCAACAATGAATACATTTCATTGTTATCAGGCAGATGAGGAAAAAGAGTAATGATAGCTTTTTAGCTTACTACATGTACAAGAGAATATAAAAATATAATAATATAAATAAGAAAATAATAGAGACAAAAAAGACAGGACTTAGCCACTGGACTATGTTCCCTTACTAATCCTTAAAGGAGCTGCTGTATACTTAGAAAAAAGGATGTTGAGGACTTGGCCACATCAATCAGCATTTTTAGACACTACATTATGGTCAATTGCAATCTGCCCTATTTGCTCCAACCTCTAATGAGTATTAAAATTAATACCTAGGGTGGGAATTAAACCCATGTATGTTCATTTACTCTATGGTTCTCTATGTACATACATGTACATGTATATGAAAAATATCAAATGCAAAAAAATGCTGGAATGTAAATATGGTAATTTACATCATGTACATTATTACAGCCTCTTTTTTTAAGGACCTAGTAAAGGAGGTCCCTGGACCTAGCTAGACCTATTTCTTAGGCAAGGTGTATTATATAACTCTTGAAAGTAGTTAAATGCAATTGTAAAATTAATTTTATCTGCTGTTAAACAATAATAACACGATAATGGTTATTTCTAAGTATTTAGTAACAACAGCGTGCAATTTAGGTAAACAAACATCAATAATCTACCACGTGTTTGTCTGCTGTGCTTGAATATTCAAAACGACCCATCGGGTTTATTTACACGAATTTTTGCTAAAGCAGACAGTTAAACATGTCTGTTTACCTAATAAGTTCTATAAAAAATGCATTTGCTGTTATGACTTGTGTATGCATGGAAATATAATGAACATAACATTGATTATTTACCGTAAATATTGAATACACAACATTCCTGAGCTATACACACAAAACACATGGCACTTTTGTAACGATGGATGGTAACGTATAGCCACTTTATAACAGTAAATCCCATTGGATAAGCTACCCTACACAGTACATAATATGCAAATTAATGATTGGATACGAATTTGTGTCAGCTCTCAAATCGATGGAAAAATGTAAACATTGGAATCCGCCATTTTGACATAGGAAACAAACTAATTTTGAATCTTGGATTAAAGGACATTGCGCACATTGCCAGCGTATTATGCATAACCAGTCATGTGCAAATATATCTTTTAATTAGTTTTATACACTTACTTTTCTATGTTTTAGTTAATTTAATGATTTAATTTACTACAGAACGGAACATCGTTCTCAAAGACGCCGTAGAAAAAATTATAGGTGGCGCTGTTTGTGGGCGTAAACATTTTACATACGGGTACTTTTTTTGTCGACAAATTGACCTTTATCTGTCAGATTCAGGCGTTTGCCGTTCAACTGTATATTACTTGTAATGATTGTAGTCTGAAACATATTCATAATTGAAGCAAATAAGTTTTAATTAATATTTAAAATTAAGTAAAGTTAGAACAATTACAATATTATGATTTTCTAGAAATATTGAATTACTGTCATTTGAATATTTGATAAACTATTTGAAGTTCATGTTATAATTTACCAGTTCATAGTAATAATCCACTGAATAATCCAACTGAATGTCTTGTATTTTTGTGATGATCCAATTGTAGCAACTGTAGTAGATCGTAGTAAATCTCGTAGTAAATCCACGCACCTTGCTTGAATTTTATGAATGAAATGTACTGACATACGCAGTGGAACCCATGTGACACTTGGGACGATTTTTCAATAAAAACACTATTTTTACGTTTCGGCAACTGTTTTCAAATACTCTTTGTAATTCCTTTTAGTATTTGCAGTCAACGTCTTCAATGTTTTGCAGATGTTAATGCTCACTATCCTTAATATTTGTCATTTTGGTTCGCCGGTGACACACATAACTTTTGGCAATGTTGTTTACGTATTGTGACTTCCGGTGAAGTTTTATTGGTGTATTTTTAGCTACTATAGAAATTTGTTTAGTACCATGCAAAATTTGTTATTATGATTTTTGTAATTTATTTGAGAATTCAAATATTTCGTTGGACAGCAAGCGCGCGATCCAACAATTTTCCAACTTTGCAAACAATCCAACATTGACGTAATTTCGACGCTTGTTCGTCAGTTCTGCTTAAACTTTTGGATAATACAGTTAGTATTTTATTTTGCTCGTTATTTATTTTATTCAAAATGGTTAATTTTCTTACAAACTTCATTTTTTTAAGGTTAAACTGTAAAGGAAAATAGTAAATTTAGCGTTTTCAAAGTTAAAAGGAATATTTCATTTTAGCGGACCCTTTGGAGCCGGACTCCTATAATTTTGATCATTTGATTATTTTAAAGTAGTTTATTCTTTTGGTAAATTTAGGAAAGTTCTTAAAATTATTTTAGAATATCTTTTGGGTTAATTATCGTATTATTGCTGGCAAAGCTTTATTTCTAGTTTATCTTTTAAAGTTAGGATTATTGAAATTGTTCATTGTATTTCATGTTACTGTTAACGTTTGTCTTTTTCTAATAAATAAAATTAAATAGGAAAACATTAGGCAATTAAGGGATAATTTCCTAAAGGTCTGGAAATTATAATAAACAAAACAGTTTATTTAAGGTATAAATTGTATTTTATTGTTAGTTATTCAGGAAAGGTTCTGAATATAACTAATGATAATAAACATTTTTTTTATATAACTGGTGAGGTATCAGTTATTACTATTTACAAAACTGTCAGAAAGAGGTATTCTGACTAAATTCACTTGAAATTAGTATTTT